AGAGTTCACACCCACCAGCTGCTCTGCGGGATAAAGATGAGCAGTCTCCTCCCAGGTGGTTTACAGCCTCTGCAAACCCCCTAGAGGGTCACATTTGAGTCAGTTATAACGTAACAGCATTTTCTAACAGCACACAACAAACATATCCTAAGTCATCTGTGAAACCACAATCAAGCTGCCGGGGAGACCACTGAGAATACTCAGCTCATTCCTCTGAGAAAAACTAAGAGAACGAAGAACACAGAGTGAAGAGACAGAAGATTTTGCAGAAGTGAGCAAAAAGGCAAAGAATTAGAATAGGGCTTACAGCTGCATTCTGTGCAGCCCAGGCCCCCAAGCCCTCACCAGGCTTACACCCCTGAAACTACTGAGTCTTCAAATCAAATGATATTTCTTCAAAACATGTTACCTCTGACCTCTCAGGGAACTTTTAACTGGTCACCCACCTCTCCTTCAAGTTGTTCTTCAGGGTGATCCAACACACTAGCTACCTGCCTGTGCTTTAACAGGATTCTCTGGGTCCTGGATCAACCACTACATTCTTGAGCATTAACTCACATGGGTCTCTTTTTGCATCAAAATAAGAATAATAGGAATGTCTATCCTACTGCATTGTGTTAACACCTTTAGTTTGCTTGACTCCACAATCAAGTCTTGGCACCAGCAGACAGGAAATCAAAAGACGAATTGCTTTAGGGAAAGTCTGCTGTCTGGGCCTTTCCAGATTACTGAAGAGCAACATTGCCAGTGTGGAGACTAAGGTGTGCCTGATCCAGGCCATGGTCTTCACAATTATGTGCTATGTATCAGAAAGCTGGACATATCTAGGAAGGACAAAAGGAGAATTGATGCCTTTGAGCTGTGGTTCTGAAAAAGAGTATTGAATATACTACGGACTGCTAAAAGAACAAACAGGTTCATGCTGCAGAGGGTGAAACCAGACTGCTCCTTGGAGGCAAGGATTCTGAAGCTTTGTCTGACATACTTTGGGCATGTTGCAAGCAGGGACCAGTTCTTGGAGAGGGACATCAGGCTTGGGAGGGTAGAGGGACAGCACAAGAGAGGGAGACCCTCAATGAGATGGATTGACTCAGTGACTGGGGTAATGAGGGTAGGTGTGTCAGAGACAATAAGGTTGGCTCAGGATAGAGCAGGGTTCAGAGCTGTTGTGCCTAGAGTCACTATAAGTTGTAGGCAACTCGACAACCTAAAAACAACAACAGATGTAAGACATGACATTGTCAATATGAAGATGCTGTGACTGTTTTCTTGGACCTGCCTTTCTGTTGTATATTTTTCCCACCTCAGCTTCTCTGGGAGGTGACTCCCAACTTCTGCCTTCCTGTCAGGATCCACATGTCACGCCTACATTGATGATTCTCACGGATCTGTGGCCTGGATCCCTCACCTAAACTCCTCTCTTCCTCTTCTGCTCCTATATGTCGCTGTCACCTCAAATCTAACAATATTCAACTAAACCCAAAGCCTTCTTACACTGGATCATCTTCCTCCATTCATTTGTGATTCTGACTTTTCCTCCACATCTGACTCTCCTCCTCCCAATACTCAATTTCTTGCCAGGCCCGTTCTTTCGTTATCTTCCCTTGATTCACTCCTTTCTCTAAATCCCCACTACCACCACCATCCATGCCATCACGACCACAACAAATCATCACCATGGCTCACCAGCACAGCTCCTTCTGTTGAAGGGAGGTGCTTCTCAACCAGGTGAAATTGGCCCACATGTGAGAGTGTAAGAGCAGTATAAAGACAGCACTCAGACTGGCAAGGAAACTGTTTGGGTTTGAGTTTTGTGCAGTACACTCGATGCTACCAGCTCTTAGGTATAGAATGCCACATCAGTCCACATCAACCATGAGAGTAGGAAAATTCAACACACACACACACACACACAGAGTCACAGACTCACACACATACACAGAGTCACAGACTCACACACAGAGTCACAGACTCACACAGTCACAGACTCACACACACACACACACCCCTGGTGGCCCCAGTTGGAGAAATCCACTT